CCCCCCCCCCCCCGCCCCCCCCCCCCCAATGAAAACAAGCTAAATGTAAATTTTATAAATTTTCCCTTAGAAAGTTAGTAATGTTCAGGTATTTTATAATTTATTGGGTATGAAAGAGTTAGTTCAGGATGTATTGACAAGTGACCAATCTTTTAAACTCTGAATTTCTGATTCATGTCTCCGCCAAGAAGCGAAGTCTCAAAATAGGACATTATGGTTGTCTGAAAGATTGCTATCAACATAGGTAGTGATCTCAGTTCAGTTCACAATGCTCAAAAGAGTCACATTGTAAAAAAGCATTCCCAGTTGCCCGAGCATGCATCACCACCAGCCACTTTGGCACAAAGGGAAACATGGTCACCCTGACAGGAACCCTTCCAACTCACGGTTTAAGCACAAAAGCTTAAGAGTGGGCACTAGTGAAACTAAATTGTTGATCTTTAGTTCTGAAAGTATCTTATATGTTTGGGCTTGCCCTAGGCATGACATTCATGAAGGAATGCCAGACAAACATACCCTGAAAAACTGTCAGAAAAGTAGCACTAGTATTAATATTAAAATACACTGAAGATGACTAAATGGACAACACCAGACACCTATGAAAATTATTATTTCAAAACACATGTGGAAGTTCTATTAGATTATCATTTTTTAAATAGTAATTTGTTACTCTTGGGGCAAATAAGAACATGCAAACACTCATGGCTTTGGGTATTCCATTTAATTTAGGAGGTACCTGTTCAGCAGCAGACTGGACTGCCAATTGAATAAAGGAGTGAAGTCAATGCAAAGCAGAAAAGTTTCCTGACGCTTTTTGTGGGCTTTGGTTGCTGGTTATATTGCTCATGTACAGTTCTAGAGTATGACTCACTCACATAATGGACAGAACATTCATTGACTGTTAATGTCTTGGAAAAAAATCCTTATCCCATTAAGAGAGAAACCTTTTGACCTTATGTAGAAAGTTATACTTGCTTCCAGTAATGGCAACGTCAAAATTGTATCTTTGCAATGAGTATATTTTGATAATTAATGCCAGTAAGATCAGACAATGAAGTGAATTTCATTTTCTGATTACAATGCACAGTGTGTTTTTAATGCTCTATATTATCCAAGGTTGCTGTACAGCTTGCCTAATACCATCAAATCTGAGGAGCTATTCGGGCAATATCAATGTCACTTAGGTAATTTATGGATATAGACCCTTTCTCTTCCTTTTTGCTACAAAGCAAATGTTGAACCAAAGCAGACTTGTATCTTGGTGGCTACTGAAGCTTTCTTTACAATCATTACTACAGAAATAGTACCTTATTCTCAAGTCACTGTGAAACTATTACACACAGTACAAGTGAATGTGCAAAGTATACGTGTCCTTTAGTAACTCCTTCCGAAGCTAGCAAAACAACTAACTGCTAAGAAACTGTGCAGTAGGAAAAGATGCATGCCTTTTATGATTAACTGCCACCTATCCAGCAGTCCTGGCAGGTGGAAAACAAGTCTCAATGTGCATGTTGTCCACAGATAGTAGTCTCAAATTGAATCCACAAATAATAATTAAAAAAAAAAAAAAATCCGAGTCCTGGGCTTTACTCAAGTATAGCACAGCATTTACAAAGTTTTAGCAACATATTCACATTCTAAACAGTACAAAAGTTTAAGGAATCTGAATTTTTCCATTTGTGCATGAAATCCAGTTATCAAAGTCTGACAAATGCAACCACTTTCGAGAGTGGCAGAGAGAGGGTTAATGAACCACACAACACTTGGATTGGGCAGAAGACATGCTTTTTGCTCCTGCATGTGTTCACTGTCCTACTTATGAAAGTGAGGGGTGGGTAAGGGAAGAAAATACATTTCCATTTGTAGTCATCTCCAAGCTAAAACCTTGATTTGAAACATCCCTAATTCGCTGTCATAGTGACAAAGTGCACTACTATGTCTTTCTATACATACCAGCACAGAGTGCAGTCTCTGCAAAATTCTTGAAGAGAAGTCACCAAGCACAGCTATCCTCAAATAGACAATTCTTAAGATACAAGAAGGTGGCAAACAACATTCAGCAACTAACTGATGTACTGGCACCTGCTTCACAAACAATGTCTTACTACATTTGTACATTAGTCTCTGAAAACCAGTACTAGATATATAGCATTACTTATGTATTGTGATGAAAGCATTTTGAGCACTTTTGATTTTAACCTCTTGTATTAACTCTGAATAGCGCTTCAAATGTCTCTAATTGAACTTGATACCTACTGATTTTCTACTATGTTAACATGCGTGTTATTCACGGAGGCATTTTAATCCCTTTGTTTTATAGAAGCATGAATAATGACATTATCTCCTGAGGTGAATTCACCTCTGTCTTTATGTGCATACAAAGATCTGAGTCCGACTTAATTGACTAGATTCCCTTTTTAGACATATGGAGAAAAAAAAAAGAGATTTTTTTTTTTTTTTTTTCCAGTCACTGCTCATCTCATCCCTGCAACAGATATCTAAAACATGGTAGAGGAACCCTGCTCCAAAGCATGCACTCATCTCCAGTAACTACAGAAGGAGTCAAGGTGACTAGCTGATCTATACACATGTACATTTTGGGCACCTAGTTCAACAAAATGAAGGTCATCTTTAGTAACCAAGTGTTTTCTTAGAAATCCACAATATCATGACTTCAAATAACCTTGTTTATTTCTGGACAAGTGGCATTCATTGAAGGTGTGATGCAATATTTCCAATATACAATGAGTTACTTGCTGTGCATATAACATCATAAGACTTTAAAAAAAAAATAATAATAAAAAAATCAAACAATGTTTTCTTACCATGGCAGGAGCCATCTACTTCTTCATATCCTACACTGCAGATGCATCGTCCTAGAGGCACAAGCCAATCCCCGTCTGCTCCACAATACAATTTTGGAGTATCACGTTCCTCAGCACTCTTCACACAGGAGCCCCGTACTTCCACCAGAGAGGAAGAATCAACCCTTGGAATAGTATCAGGAAACATAGCCAAATTACGGACCGTGAAAGGGCACTTTTTGTAATAAACACGGACTGAGACCAAAGCGATACATGCTCCAATGTCCTGAAAAGCAAGATAAAATCCTTTCTTATTTATTGGCCCAACCTCACGAACTTCTGTGTTGAGTTTAAGAATGCGGTCACCCAAGTCCATCTGGGTAAAGCTCTCATCAGCTGCAATAGTATCAATTTTAGTGTACAGGTTTGTCTTGAATTTTACTCCATGAGACTCATCTGACTCCATATAGTAGAGATTGAAAGTTTCCTTGCAGGTTCCCAGTACCCATGGAATACTGTTGCAGTCCCTCAGGGTAAACTTCATTTCCACGTAAATCTTCTGTGCAGCATCACGGGAGATCCAGTTTGTTTGAAGCCAGTTGTTTTGGTTTGGTTCCATCACATTACATACCTGGTAAGTATGAATGGGACGATTGTGTTCATCCATTTCAGTTATGGCATCCCACTGAAAAGAAAATAAAGTTGTTTGAAAACCAAGAAAAATACATATTATGCATATACACTGAACCCATGTATATATACACATGCATGCCCCATGTATATGCATCTATGGTTTAGTTAAGAATAATTATTTACTTAAAGCTTAGTGGAAAGACAGTAGTTAAAAGCAGATGCCAACTACATAATGGTACAACAAGTTTTATTTCAGAAACTCTATGATAATTTTCTATTAATAAAAACATTTAAAAATCAATGTAGCTCAGTAGAAGAGGAAAATACTGGCCATGTTTATATTAGCAAATTTAATAAGTCTGAGAACATTCCTGGGCATGTAATTCAATCATCTATGCCCCCCCAAAATTGGTAGAACAGTCCTGTTTGGTATGCTGGTGGGCCGGCTCTCTGGCAGTCCTCCAGGCAATTCCCACAGCTCAGGCACATGACACGGGCGAGGCACCTGCAGCAGTTGGCAGCTGGAAGGTAGCCACTCTGGTTTGGTGGGTTTGAGGTGTTTGGTATAGGTTGTCCTAGTTTACACAATTGCCCTAGAAACATCCAGCTGTATATACAAAGATGTTACAGTTCTGGCTCCATAGGGTCTGTATTACACTTATTTCCGCTAAAAAAAACCCCAAACCCAAACCAAACCCCACCAAAAAAACCACAAACCACCAACCTGTCACAGGCATCATGCCGTTGTTGTTGCCTTCATAAATTCTCTTTCTTGCAATTTGGAGGTAAAGGAGGACTTTTTTTTTTTCCCCTCTCCCCTACACTTCTCTGCCCCCCCCAAGGTTTTACATTACATCAACTTTGTTAAAATGTTCTCAAATTCTGGTGGAAATTCCCACATAGATGCTCTCAAAAACCCCATGAATCTTTGAAAAATATATGCTGTATGGCATTTTAAAATTTTGTATTAATTACATACAGGTGTACACACATAACATGCCAAAGCGCATGTTCAAATAACACACAATATGCAATTCTGAGTACTAAAACAAGAAATGGACCTTGCACATCATTGTTCAAACATAAATTCAAATTCTGTTAGCCCCAAGATCCATCAACCCCACAAGTTCTTCTGCTCTAATGCACAAAGCATCAATATTTTTAAAATTAAAGTTACACTCCTAAAGATATATTTTGACTACTTAAGCAGACGAATATTCATAGTGCCTGCCTACTTCAGTATTACAAGAAAGATATGGTTGGCCTGTGGCCTACTGGATTAAGAAAGCTGAGGAAGTACAAGTTCAGTTTACCATTTTTAAGCAATAAAAAAAAATACCATTTAGAAACACTGTGGAAAGCAAGACTTTACCTGTTCATTTTTTTCTGTGAAAGAGGAAGATGTTACTTAAGAGTTAGGTCCTCATTTTCAGAAAAATTCCCAGACATCATATGGCTCTTAAGGCCCATGTGAGCATGTAGAAAACTAGCTGGCTTTACTTTGAGTTTTAAGAACAAATAATGTCACAATATGGAAGTGAGGGAACATGTGCATCTCCAAGACCTTCACATAATCTTTATGTAAAAACAAAACAACACAACACAAAAGCACACAACAACATGTGTGTGTGGGGGGGGAAGTATACCTTTTACTTTAGGAGTGAACTGATCCACCATGGTGGAAGCAGCAGAAAAAATAAATAATAACCTGTAGCTCCATTAGCCTGAAAACTTTGATTTTAAATGATGGCTAGAATTCATGTGGAAAAAGGAATTCCAATTTCGAAAGGAAATCCAGATGCAATCAGAGGATTGGGATTCCTGGGCACTGCAGCATGCATCTGGGAGCTATGCAGAAAAATAGGGCAAGTGAAGGCCTTTACAGGCCATCCATCACTTTTGGGGATTCTTCCTATCACAGGAAGAACGATAACCTCTTCTGAAGGTCCTGTCCTAAGAATCACAAAGCATACTACTTATATGATAGCCAGATAATGGCAAATACTTGGCAAACAATCTGCTGACTCTTTAGAGATTCATATATGGCCAAGGGCTTTGGGCCTCTATGACTTATATGCATTCAGAAAGGGCAAAGCTGCTACTTCAGCATTCATGGCAAGACCAGAACAAATTCAGATTTGGTCAAAATTATGATGGACTAGTTAGCACGGGGCTTCTTGTGTCATTGTCCCCAAACTGGTCTGAACTATGATTAAAGTCTACCCTGTAGCAAGCAATATAATACCCCAAGTAGATCTTGGCTTTGGGAAAGGAAAAGGGGACTTTCATGCTCTAGTGGGCCAGGCCTCTCCCCTTTTGCCAAGCAAGAACCCACAAAGTTTGAATAGATTCAAAATTCCACAGGCATGAAGGATTAAATAAATCATTTTTTAATTTTAAATATAATTAAAATCCACAGCTCCAAGCCTTGAAACCTCACCAGAAGAGGTTCTTTAAAAACAAAGCAGGGAAGTCTCTCAGCTGTTGGTCTCCATTTTGCCTACCATATCTGCTACATGAGCCAAGGCCATAACCACCTTTTTCTTCACATATAAAACATGTACTGTAAGTTCAAGCATTATTACACAAATTTGCATTATACACAAATGTAACCACAACATAGATTTAGAAAAAAACCAAACAGAAGCACAAAAGGTTTTCCACATTTGCTTATCAAACCACATTAAAATGAAGATGTGCTATATGCTCCAGAGAGGTCTCAAAAAACAGAAAGCAAACAAAAAAGCAACCAACCAACCAAAAAAAACAACCAACCACAAAACCACGCAAAACAAAACCACCCACCCAAACCCACAATAAAAGAGTAGTAGGAGGGATGACGATGTAGTTTTTAAAATACAGAGCAGTCTTCAGAACCAGAGTAAACTGGCTTAAAGCAAAAAAGCCTCGATATACTACTGCCTCTTAAAAGTGTTAGGGAAAAAAAAAAATCCAACATATCTTCCCCTTACTGTAAGATTCTCTTCAGATATATTTATATATTCACTTTGAATCAATATCTCAATTTGAACTTAGAGATTAAAGCCCTGAAGTTAGCTGCTAACCATGTAGTTAATAATATAAATCTATTGCTTCTGTAGGAAGGTGAAGGCTCAGCACTTCAATAACTGGTTTAAAAGAATAAAACAAGATGGATTGATTAAACATGGACAGTGCTTTAGTTCATTCAAAGCAGACCTTGCGTGCTTCATGCCTGTGCCTTTCCATTGTGCTCCCAAAGAGCCTGCTGACAACTCTGAATTTATGAGTTCATGCATTGGGCAAGAAAAACATTTAAAAGGCATTTGCAAAAATGTTAAACAGTGGTAGTCTAATCATCATACATGTAAAATATTGTCAAAAAATTTAACATCTATCATTTCAACCTAGCCATCACACCAAGACATACTGTGTAAGATACACTTATAAATACAGCTGTGAGTTTTTTAGCATGTGTTCTTAATTACTAGTTCCAGATATTGAGTGCAAATGAGGTGAATTCCGCCACCTCAAAATGTCAATGTAATTTACTGAAGAGTCTAACAGAACTTAATCTGTGATAGTCTCTGACAAGGACACATTCTTCCTGGGTGAAATATAATCTGCTTTTAATTTTACACAAGTGTTGCATTTTTCTTCTGATAAAACCAGCCAGGAAATATTAAGCAATATTTAAATTCACTGCAGACAACAAAAAGCCAAGCAATTTATCAAATATACACTAGTGTTCTTTTGGGTGTATTTCATATTATAGCTCCTAACTAATTAAATGAAAAGTATTTATAAACATTTTTGTTGTGCGAAACTAATTTTCCCTAAAACCTTAAAAACAAATTAACAGAAGCATCTCATTGGTGATCTTTGCACAAGAATGTGGTAGCTCCCGCTGCCCCCAGAATACCTAACCTGACATGCACAAAAGCTGGCAGAAGCTGTCTGGTTTAGACAAGCTGACAGTTCAGGCTTCCTTCAAACCAAGTCTCTTGGCATCCCAATGCACTGCATTACTTTCAAAATCTTTTGATTACGTTCCTTTCAAATGAGGAAAGCCTCCAATAATGTTGACGGAAGCAGCAGCAGCAGCAGCTTAAAGCTAATTCTTGCAACTGGAGTTCCAGAACTTAAGAAGAAATGTCAAAGACACAGTTTGGAGGAAAGACTTCAAAATTCTATTTTAACAGTGTAATCAACAGCAGCATGGATAAGAGGTTACACTTTACTTTCACATGTGGCATAAAGGAGGAGTAAATGTCACTAAAAATAGAACAACATGGAATTTGAAGATTGGTAGAGAGAAGATTTTAAGGTTACTTGTCACATTCAAGTACAAAATGTAAGATTAGGCTACAAACCACACAGATTTTAGTTAGATAAAATCTCACCTGTTTTCATATCTCTGCAAGCTACTTTACCACCTGTTTCATTTTAGGACTTCACTAATATTTAACAGCTCTACAGAGAACACTATAAAGAACAAATTACCCAATTTAAATCTTCTACTAGCTATACATAATACTGAAATCTCTTTTCCATGTTCCCCACTTTTTGTTATTCTTATTTTAGACCAGACACTACAGATTAACAAAATCAGCAACAGCCATTTATTACAATTCAGTAGGTTGTATCACCAAAGGCTGTACGAACATTACAAAGAGAGCGACTGCATTTCATGTATTTTATGTTATTTTTAAACACATTACTGTCTGATAAAAAAATGTCTTAGTGATACCATGCTACAGAAAATTAAAAACAGTGGACCAGTTTCAGCCTGATGGAAACAGTCATAACTTCCCTGAAGACACCAGTTATTATAACAAATTCTGAAACTTGACTTAAATCACAGTCAGCCTCTTAAGCGAACCCTTATTGAGGTCACATCATGCTGCTTAAAGAAAAGAAATGTTAAATTGACAATTGGTGTGACTTGCCCAGTACTAGCCATACACAACATTGGATTTACAGGGGGAACACAGAACAGAAAGGACTGAGAGGATATTAGCTCGCCCTGTAGTCAGCTCCCAGCTCTCCGTGGCAGCACCGTAAAGCTGCATG